GCTCTAGTTTATAACATGTTATTTCAACTTTTTAGTCCTTCAAAAGTTGAAATCCATTTTTTAAGGGGGGAAAAAAAACAGAATAACTTTTTAAAATATTATATATTGGGCCGGATTTTGTTTCTGGAATAGAAAAATCATTTCGGGCCACAGGAAAAAGGAAAGGAGCCTGGTTTTAGAAGACTGCATCTTTAATGAAAAAAAAAAAGGCTAAGAATGCTTACGAAAGACTCATGGAGGAAGGGCTTTGGAGCAGTGGTGGAAGCACATTGGCCCAGGGTTAAGCACGGGCCTACCTGCGCCAAAAAATTTTGAAGAAAGTAAAGGGCCTAATTGTCTAGGCCCTACCTTGTAGTTGGATGAATTTGAAGAAAAATAAAAGATTTAGGATTGTAAGAAGCTAAAACGAAAAGAACACCAAAAGAAAAATAAAATATTGAAGTGGAAAGAAAATTACAAAAATAAATATGCAATCCATACCTTGAATAACTAAAATCAAAGAGAAGAATGGATTTAATTCCTTGAAAAAAGTTATTGCAAAATTTGTTTTTCTTTGTAGCAAACCAATACAAAGGCTTTGATTCCTAGTTTTTTACGTTTACAATTTTCTTCTCTTCCACTTTTGATTTTGTTTTTATCTTTGTTTCTAGTTACCTCTAATTCCAGAGCTTTGTTCAAGTGACTTGAACTCTTAAAATCAACGAACTATTTTTTTAAAAGTTAAAATTTCATTTTATATTCTCTCAATTAGATCCCTTAAAAGCCAAATATTATCCGATACAAATTTCTCATTATTATCTCATAATTTATCCAGTTTAGCTTTCAAAACACCATCCAACTAGACCCTCATCACATAGTTTCTAGAAGAGAATCTCCACAAACATTTCTTAATTCATTGCAATAGAGCAAGATTAAAGGAGGATTAAGGCTTTGATTAGATTTGCGTGCCATTGGAGAAGAAAGAGGAATGCATATATTTGAACAGTAATACTATAGTTATAATGTCTATCATGATGTAACATTAAATAAGTATAATGTGGTATTAAATAAATAAATGCATATAATATCATTGATAGACCCTTAAATGAAAAGAATTGATTATATAATGATATATAATGTTATATATTTACGATATCATGTGATATTGTAAGTATAGCATTTTTGATATTTTAATCTACTAAAATGGAATAGTCCACGTTAATTCTTCATTTGGATTTGCAATTTTTTTTTTTTTTTTGTTGTCTAGTCTTTGCTCTTTTAT